TGACCAACAGTGCGGGCGAACGCTGCTATGATGCCAAGGGCAGAGCGGATATCCTAGGAGAGCACTTCGAGGAGCAATTTATGCCGAATCCTGCAAGTGCGGAGTTCATGGAGCTTCATGCCATAAAGGAGAGTCGCGTACAGGAGTTCCTGTCGTCGTCGTGTGTCGTCGTATTACCGCACATAGCTAAACTGTTTGAAAGATAGCTGCTGAGACGTCTCCGTCCGTGCATCCAACTTCGGGCGGAGCAGCACGGATTCAGGAGGGGTCACTCTACAGTCACACAGCTGACTAGAGTGCTGCACCTGCTTGCGGCAGAGTATAATCGTGGCCGCATATCGTTGGGCGTCTTTCTCGATATCGAGAAGGCGTTCGACCGGGTGTGGCACTCAGGATTACTATACAAACTACACGAGCAGACCAGTGTCCCCCCTACTATGTTGCGGTTAATGGCGTCTTTCCTGGAAGACAGGAAGTTCTACGTCTGCGTAGAGGACGCCGAGTCCGCAACAAGAACCATCAGTGCCGGCGTCCCACAGGGCAGTTGTCTGTCTCCAGTCCTGTACGCGGCTTACACGAACGACATACCAACATTGGCAGGCAGGCTGCAAGAATGGGAGGACGATGTTGAGCTGGCGCTATATGCGGACGATAGCGCCTATTTCACTTCGTCCAGAAGAGCCTGCCAAAATGCAGCGTCTGCTGGACCTGTTGCCACCATGGCTGAACGAGTGGAGGATGGTCGTCAACGTTGGTAAGACGACCGCTCTGCTCACTCGCCGTCTCAGAAATCTACCACCTCCGCTAACTCTCGACGGCCAGAAGATCGCGTACGAGAAGGCCGTGACATACCTCGGGTGCCGGATCAACCGGGCGCTGCGCATGACTGCACACGTTGACTTCGTCGTCCGCAAAGCCAGATGTGCGCGAGCGATGATTCGTCCGGTCCTGGCATCCAAGCTGCCAATAAAGACCAAGCTCCAGATATACAAGATGTATATCCGGACCATTACCACCTACGCTGCTCCGGCCTGGTACGCGCTTCTGAGCGACCATCTGAGGCGGCAACTACAGGCTCAGCCGAACCTGTCATTAAGGACGATTGTCGGAGCAGGTCGTTACGTCCGGAATGACGTCATAGCGGCTGATCTGAAAGTCGAGACCATCACCGACTTCGTGGCCCGGCTAGCGCGCGGCATGTTTGACCGTGCCGATAACGGGCCACATGACCATCTCAACGGTTTTGCACCGTTGCACACTCGGCCCCCGAACGGGCGACCTCTTCCAAGAGAACTCCTCTCTATATCGATTAGAGAGTCGAGTAACAACCCACAATGCCGCTGAAAGGCCAACTTAGACCTAATTGGATTACCTCCATAGATAACCTCCTTTTCCCGTAGTCGGTGAACTACGGGAAAAAATTCTTATCCGGCTACGTTACAACCGTAGCACTATCTATGCCATGAATAGGTCAAAACGACTGCCCCATAGTTATGGGGTATGAGGATATCCGGGTAATGGGGTTTACCCCGAGGCCCGATACCTCCATGTACCATTAGGTGCATGAAGACGACATCAACATTCGCAATTTGTTCGAGATCTTCCCTACAGTTAAGTTAGAAAAAATCTTCAGTTCAACATCAAGATTCAAAAAGTTCCCCGGTTATCACATTTCTCAAGAATTTTCAAGAAAATCGCTGTTTGATTTCCAGTGTTGACCCTAAAGTTAGGGAAAGTGAAGTAAATATACAGTCCGCATATTTGATGTCTAGACCGAGACCTGGCGTGGACCAGTAATCTCAGGCATCAACCACCTTTTAAAAAGAGGCGTGTGTGTTTGTGAAATAGGCGTTACCGAAGGGTGCGTCCACTGCGTTGTCTCGAACCCAACGTAGAGTGACTTAGATCGACGAGTTAGGAACTGGAAGACTCGCCGGATTGCTACTGCGACAGTCAGCGTTAAGAGTTTTGGCTGGTGATCCTTCGGAGTAAAGGGCCATAGATTCAGAAGCGCCCGCGACCCTCTTTAATGGTCCTTCGCAGCCGGATGAAGAGCCAGGCCCCGACCCTCTTTAATGGTCCTTCGCAGCTGAATTAAAAACCAGCGATAAAGAACCAGCGTTTAAGAAGAAAAGAAGATTGTTTAACAAGGGTCATTTGCAGCTATAAGAAGCGGCTGTGAAAAGATATCCGTCTTGAATTTTATGCCAAGAGGAAGACGCCCGAACGTCATTTCATTGTTGGACGTTTCGGAAGAAGACGCCCGAGATCCATTCCTTGTTGGTGCTTCGGATGAAGAAGGACGCCTGTGCACATTTCCACTTTTGGCGTTTCAGAAGAGGCCCAAACGTCGTTTCTCCTTGTGGCGTTTCGGAGCTTGAAGAAAGTAGGCCCGACACCGTTTTAAGTGTGGATGGTGGGAGCCGAGCCCCAGGCCAACATAAAATGCCTGTTGGTACGACGCTGGAGAACATATTGTTGCTGCCGGGAGAAGGAAGAACCAAGATTGCTACCAGGAGACAGAAGGACCAGGGTTGCTGCCGGGAGTGCTCTGTGAAAGCACTCATTGCTGCCGGGAGTACAAGATCTGTGGTTATAGTGAATCTATGGTTATGGAGATAGTGAACGTAAACTCAACGGTATACCATTTCACTCGTAAGTATAGTACATTTTATCTGGTATTACGTATAAAATTCAATTTTTATTTAAATTTCGTTACAGAACTATATAAATATACGTTTGTATTTTATCTAAATGTCTTTAAAAGTCATAAAGTTTATCTAAATATGTTTAAAAGTCATAAAGATTATTGTATAACCTAAAACTACGTTATGGTCCTTTCTCACTCGAGGCCACGCTAATCATTAAGCGCTTATTACATTATACAATTTTTAGAAAATCTAATTAGGAACCTAAATTGGAAGCTAGTGATCACATTACACTAAATTTAATTCTAAATCGTGACGAAGCGCATTCGTAAAGAAGTATCGACGGGGTTGCACGTTTGATCGATGGCGCCGTATTTATCAAAACAGCAGAAAATAGGACTTGCCCTAGCCATGGTGGGAACAATGGATATTAAAAAAAGAGAAAAAGAGTACTTGTCATTGAGCAAAAACTGTCCAATATGAATATAATTATATATTTTTAGATTCTAAGCAGTTTTTTTTATAGGATAGGGTGATTAACTAGCACACAGTCCACCTGTGGTAGTGGTAGTGGTTGCTACGGCCCATGGACATCTACATCTATCCCCGATTACAAATCAAAATGTAGATGCGTTGTCACCTGTGACGACTAAGATGGAAAGCCACGTTTCCAGTAAAAAGGGTCTCCGGTTCTCTACACTCGCCATACGAAACACAGCAACATTAAGCTACTATTTTACGCTGGTATTCTGTGAGAGCGTGGTGCTTCCTCGGTCGAGCCGACCCATTCGTGCTACAACTATACTACTAATATAACTGCAGCATGGCTCTACCACCTATGAAACAGTTTGATTATTTGTTAAGTTTGGTATCCAAACATATTGAAAAAAAATCGGACAAGAGCGTGTCGGGCCACGCTCAGTGTAGGGTTCCGTAGTTTCCCGTCCGTCACAATAAGTTTTCCCACTTATGAGTTTAAAGGTGGGTATCCATTATGTTCGCGCTCCAGCAGCGCTCCGCGCTCCTGCAACTGCTCCCGGTAGTGGGTACTATTGTTTCCATCCAAGTTCAAAATGATTTTCCTAGAAAGTCCTTATAAAGTTCTACTTTTCAGATTTTTTTCATATTTTCTAAACTTATGGTTCAAAAGTTAGAGGTTAGAGTTACACATTGTTTTTTTACTTTTGGAGCGATTATTTCCGAAATTATTGACATTATCAAAAAATAATTTTAGTAAACCCCTATACAATATATCATAACAATATATCACACGTTAGGGTTGAAATTAAAAAAAATCACTTCCCACTTTACATATAGGGGGGCTACCCTAATAAAAGATTTTTTCCAATTTTTATTTTACCACTTTGTCTTCGTGATTGATACACATATTGGTACCAAATTTCAGCTTTCTAGTGCTAACGGTCACAGAGATTAAGCGAGGACGGACAGACGGACAGACAGACCTGGTGAAACTATAAGGGTTCCTAGTTGACTACCGAACCCTAAGAAGTCACGATATTTCGATAAAGTGTGAGTACCAAAGAATGTTTGATGGTGACATTACGTTTTATAGCCACCGGAAATTAATATTAAGATTTAAAGTACTGCTCTCTGATATCAGCTTCTACCAAAACTTCTATCAAAACTTCAAGACATCCGCTTGTATCAAAGCGCGGGCGCCAGTGTTGCCAACTGCTAGCTTTACCCAGTAGCTAGACATTTTCAAAATGTTGCTAGATTTCCAGTTTTTTTACCCTAAAAATTTGCTAGAAGTTGCTAAATGTTACAGTAGATAAGTAGGTTACAATAAAATGCCAGTTTCTGATAATCATTTTTATTCTTTAATACCAACGAGAAGTTAAATTAAGTCCTGTGTACGCAATTGAATAAAAAATAAAAAATAAATTAATCAATTAAAGAGGAAGATGTCGATGGCTGGGGTTCAGTATCTTTCATTGATTTCGAATATTTTTCAACGGTGCCCATTTTATGCAGTACGTCTTTAGGCAAAACACAGTTATAGCAGCATTTACCACTTTTCCTGAGGGAGTCTCTAATGCAGAGGATTGAGTTCAGAGCTTTCAAACTCATTCTGTTTCTTTGCTTATTTTTAAGTAAATTCATTTGAGAGAATAACCTTTCTACCTCTGCATTAGAATGTGGCAGATAAAGGCAAGTTAAAGCAAGAGTACTTATATCTTGATATATGTTGTCATCGGAAGTATTTCTAAATTTTTTTTACTTCGACCAGTTCAAATCTGAACTATTTCTTCAGAATGCCACCTATTTATATGTAGAATGTGCCACTGTTGCATTATCTTGTCTATTATTTCTGGTGTAAATCCCAAAATTTCAGCAAAGTCTGTCGATGATAGTGTTTGATTTGATTGGTTTTATTGCCTCCTCTGGACTTAGCAACGCCATTGATTCTAGCTGCTTGTAATTGTCTGGAAGCCTTTGTTGCAATTCCTTAAGTAATTGCAGTAAGAAGGCGGAGCAGCGTTGTCGTATTGCATTTAAAATTTCGGAGTCTAAATTATGTTGAGCAGTTTCAAACATGTAGCCAAGATAAGGCCTAGAGTTAATATCCCTGTCAGTTATTGGATCTAATAAGTTTCTATTTACAGGTCTTGGCATTAAAATTCTCTGGCTCACTGATTCTATCAGTGTCGTGAGTGTATTGAGAAGTTTTAATGGATTAGAGTTTTCACTTTCAAATGATTTAATTGCTGTTTGAACATCATTTAAAACGCTTCTCGGAAACACAAAATATAAATAATTTCTTTTGTCTTCGAGCATGTCGTAAATAAGTCAGCAGAGTAACAATTGTCTTTCACTCTTGCTAAATTATATTTAATTCTTCCCATTGTGTCACAATTTTTGTTATCGCTGGCTCTATTGAAAGCCAACGTGTATCGCACACCTTGGTGATTTTCAAAGGACTTTCGCCACAGTTTATAAGTTCGTATATTTTTGTGTATTCGTCTCGCCGCTTAGGAGACACAGAAAACCATTTATAAATTTCTCTAACCAAAAACTCTAAATTTCTTGGCAGAGTATTTTCGGAGGCATGGGTCACTGCTAACTGCAACGAGTGGCAGACACATCGTATCATTATCAAATTTTCTATACCATATTCTCTTTTTAGGATTGCATGAACCCCGTTATTAATTCTTGTTATAACAGATGCATTATCAGTTCCAATACCAATCATTTGTTTGATATCTAAGTTGTGACTCTCTAAGCATGATACCAATCTATTAACGATTCCCCTAGCATCTGCACTCTCAATAGAAACTAGTTCCAGGAATGAGCTTACTATCCTTTCCTGTGCGGCACTATAATACCTAATTACAAGACCAAGGTGTTTACTGACACTGACGTCTGTGGACTCACCCATTATAATGCTGAACTTTTGGTTTCCAATATCATCTAAGAGCTCCTTGCGAAAGTGCGGCATCAGCACATTTTTCATTATTTCTGTACATTTAGTGTGATGCAATTTAAGCTCCTGTGTAGCTTTGGAGTCTTTGAAACACATTTTGCATAGTTCAACCAAAATCGTCAACACTTAATATAGAACAGTTCTCGGCAATAAATAAGGTCTAAATAAATGGTCTTTTGGTATAACTTTGAAAGGAATTTCTTTATTGCCTGTAAATACAAAATTAATATACATAAGGACCCTAGACGCAAAATATAATATGACCCTAAAAATTGGTAAAATAAAAATATCAAACTCATTTTTCCCATCGATAGAGTCTGATATCAACAAAACGAATTTTAAATTCATTCATGTACCTGTTTTGAACTCTACTTTCTGTTTATGCTTTTTGGTCTCAGCATGCTTCTTTATATCAAAAAGTTTAGTAAGAATCTCCGTAGAACAATATGTACAAAATGCTTTGCTTGAGTCTCCTCTTGCCGATTTTAGCCAACCTTTAAATTCGTCCATATTTTCCCACTCCGGTCTGTATTTTTGTGCGTAGGTTTTTTTTTTCAAAGGTAAATCCATTTTCGAATTAAATTAAATTAGTTTTATATGGATAAAACAAAACAACACAAGGTAGTATAGATTTGGAAATTAATATTAAGATTTAAAGAAACTTGTTTATTTCATTGATACTAGAATTATCGTGAATCTATGACGTAAATGTATCTCGAAATTCGAGCCAGCATTGGTAGTTACCATCGAAATGAGGTAAATCAATTTTAGGCAAACGAACAAAACTATTCTTATTAGAACAGTGTGCACCCGAGTCAGCATTGTGGCGGCGCTGTCGTCACGCTGCAAGCGAAACACACCGAAGCCTAAATCACGCTATCAAAATTCCGAATCATAAAACAGTATATATAGAACATCTCCGAACTATCACACGGTAAGTTGGCCACAGCCACAGCATCTTTCATCAAGCCCGCCTCTGACTGACCATTGTTGGACGAAGCAATGAGCAGGCTGCGCGTGATAGTCACCAAATTGAAGAACTGACGGTCAGAGTCCTCACGCTCGGCCAACGCAGACCCCGAATCATCGGCAAACACTTCTATGTTTGCCTCTAATTTGTCAAATTCAGTAGCGAAGCTTTTTAATACATTCGAAACCTTCGAATTTATTAAAACGCTCCGCTAAGTCTAGACGTTGCAACTCAGAAATATCAGAACTACTTTTTATTAATTTTAATAAGTGTTGAAAATTGTAATCTTGGATTTTATAAAACTACGCTTCTTCAATAAAGTTTTTAAATTATCTGCCATTTTATTTGTATATGAATGCAGCAATAGAAAAGAAAACGCTAACTACTTTAAGATAAAAAAAACACTACAGCTGCACGAGAACAAAGGGGACCGTTACAAGCAGGCAAAATATCAGTCTACGCAAGATCAACGAGTCGACACCTGTTCAACGCAACTATAAAGTAGGGCCAACTATAGTATATGCCAAATCGATTGAGAAAAACGGACAATGACCTCAGAATGAGCGGAATGTCAAAAGGTCTTACAAAATCTCAATTTAGATGTGATAACAATATTTACCGTGTAGTGGCGGTTAAGAATATCCACTACCCCATATCTTCCCGTGGGTGTCGTAAAAGGCGACAGAGGGAAACAAGCAGGAGATGGGCAGCAGCATCTTCCTGATAACAGCAACTGTACAACAAAAAAACTGCGGTTGCCAACCCGCTCACCAAGCGTGGCAACTATGGCAATATACCCCCCATCAAGAATTACACAAATAGACGGCCCCCAGTCCCCCTCGGCCCCGCTATTCCTGGCTACGGTGGCGACCATGGTAATGGCGGGGCAGGGGGTGCTAAGAATCTCCGGTGGAGTTTCGGTTGCCACCTACTACGACTCGACCTGGCAACATTTAACGCACGCACCCTGATGACTGACGAGAAGATCCTGGAGCTGAGAGAAGAGATAGACAAGTTGCGCTGCAATATTATAGGATTATCCGAAGTCCGAAGAGAGAGGGAGGACACGGAGATTCTCGAATCCGGCAACTTGTTCTATCACCGGGAGGGCTACCATCTATCCCAAGGAGGTGTTGGATTTATCGTCCACGAGTCTATCGTTAACAACGTTTTAAAGATTGGGAGTGTATCGACGAGGGCGTACCTTATACTCAGAATCACAAAACGGTATTCGCTGAAGGTCATACAGGTTTACGCGCCAACGTCGGAACATCCCGATGAGGAGGTGGAGTCGTCAACAGATTTGACAGCATACAGGCAACTAAACAGACAGATCTCCAAATGCATGCGGTGAGACTTACGCAACTTTAATAGTGCTCGTATTAAAGAAGCGATCGAGCGGAACCAGGGCTCCAAAGTCTTTGCCAGAGATCTGTCTGCCAGAAAGAGCCAACTGTCAAAGCTGAAGACTGAGTGTGGCAGCATCATTTCCGGGACACCTGAGATTTTGAGTGAGATTGAGAGGTTCTATGGACAGCTGTACACATCATCGTTGGAGCCACACGCAAGTGTGAGTAACGATCCAAGAGCAAGTCTTATCCGAGACTATTCCGATGATATCCCGGACGTCAGTCTGAGCGAGATTAGAATGGCTCTCCAGCATCTTAAAAACGGCAGGGCCCCAGGCGAGGATGGAATTACAGCGGAGCTTCTGTAAGCGGGTGGAACACCGGTACTTGAAGTCTTTCAGAGGCTCTTTAATTCCGTCCTCCATGGTAGCACTACTCCGGTGGAGCGGAAGTGCGGTGGTCTTGTTCTTTAAGAAAGGCGACAACGCTCTCTTGAAGAACTACAGACCGATCTCCCTTCTGAGCCGCGTCTACGTGCTGTTTTCGAGAGTCATCACGAATCGTCTCGCACGCAGACTCGACGACTTCCAGCCTCCCAAACAAGCCGGTTGCCAAAAAGGCTTCAGTACCATAGACCACATACATACCCTGCGGCAGATTGTACAGAAGACCGAAGAGTACAATCTGCCACTTGGCCTGGCGTATGTGGACTATGAGAAAACCTTTGATTCCGTCGAAATTTGGGCGGTACTACAGTCCCTTCAGCGGTGCCAAGTTGATTGTCGGTATATCGAAGTGCTGAAGTGTTTGTACAGTAGGGCTACGATGGCTATCCGAGTACAAAACCAGAGTTCGAAACCTATCCAACTGCAGAGAGGTGTAAGACAGGGCGACGTTATATCCCCGAAACTCTTCACCGCTGCATTGGAAGACGTTTTCAAGCTACTGGACTGGAAAGGATACGGTATTAACATTAATGGCGAATACATCACTCACCTTCGATTTGCCGACGATATAATCCTTATAGTAGAATCGCTGGGGGACCTAAGCATTATTCTCAATGACCTCAATGGTGTCTCCCAACAGATAGGTCTTAAGATGAACATGGACAAAACAAAGATCATGTTCAATGTCCATGTCACACCTATACCGGTAATTGTTGGGAGCACTATGCTCGAAGTTGTTGACGAGTACGTTTACCTGGGACAAATAGTCCGACTAGGTAAGTCCAACTTCGACCGAGAGGTCATTCGACGAATTCAACTCGGCTGGGCAGCGTTCGGGAAATTACGACACATCTTCTCGTCAGGTATATCTCAATCTCTGAAAACTAGACTGTACAACCAGTGCGTGTTGTCAGTGATGACTTATGGATCTGAGACGTGGTCCTTCACTGCTGGTCGTGTGCGGACGCTCAAGGTCGCTTAGCGAGCTATCGAGAGTGCTATGCTCAGAGTTTCTCTGAGTGATAGATTCAGAATCGAGGATATCCGCAGTAAAACCAGAGTGACTGACATAGCCTAACGGATTAATAAGCTGAAGTGGCAATGGGCCGGCCATTTAGCTCGAAGAACCGATAATCGATGGGGAAGAAAGGTTCTCGTGGCAGCGTCGTACCGGTAGGCGTAGTGTAATGCGACCCCCCACTAGATGGAGTGACGACCTGGTAAGATATGCAGGAAGTCGATGGATGCAGGTGGCTCAGGACCCTGCTTTGTGGCATTACTTGGGGGAGGCCTATGTTCAGCAGTGGACTTGTGAAGGGCTGTGATGATGATGATGATGATGAACAATATTTAAATATTGATATTATTCACACTTCTAGGTCAGCACATATGTTTTGTTTTTTGTTTCTTCAATTATATAGTCTTTGGTTCCTATAAACATCGTAAAATCTTACGGTACATCGCGAAAAATGTGTTATATTTTATATTTCAATTTATGGTAAGTAACGCAGCAATTCAATAATAACAGTCATATTAAAAAAATATTTGAAGCTATATAATCACCATATTGAGCTTTTGCAAATTCATCCCTTTAAAATAAACAAAACGCGCGTTACGTCAGTTCGTTCTAAAAGAAACGTGACAATGGCAGCCAGAGATGCGTCACCTTTTTTGTTTTTGGTTTAACTCAAATCACGCCAGATAAATGGAAAAACTGTGTTCAGCATGTCCTTAAAGTTGAACAAAAAATGTGTGGTATGGATGATAGAATTAACCAAATTTCAGATCACTTTATAATTAATGTAACAGTTCATTTGAATACACATCAAGTGAAAATACGAGTGATGATTGCACCGAATAAAAATAAAGTTCTTATATAATATTGAAAATAAAGTTTTATCTTTTGAGTAAGTACGTACTTATTCGGTGTCACTCGAATCTTTATATGTGTTATAAATTAATCCTTTTTGTTGTTAAATTAATAAAGTACTTTATAACAATAGATGATTTTTCTTCTACAGCGATCTTCTGCATAACTTTTTAATAATAGTTAATAAATATATATTATATCAATAATTATAAAAAAATCTATATGATATAAACTAAATCAGTTTGTGATGAATAATAATCATTACATATAGATGTGTAGTGGATTTTGTTAAATGATTTATATATTCAGCTCAATTTTAACACGATACTGAATATTATATAATTAAATATAATCGATAACTAGTATTTATTAAAATATTATACAAAATATAGGCCAAATAAGTCAAATCGAAACTTGCTACCTCGCAGCAAAATTGTGCAATTTTTATAAAAATAAACTGGTATCACTGCAACCGAAAGTATTGCACTATAATGATGAACGCCGCAACTTTAGATATCGATAAGTTAATTAACCTAAAATATATATATATATATATATATATATATATATATATATATATATAGCTTGAATCTTCTGACTAAAATAAAATTATTTATTTTAGGGTGATCGTGGTGAAGCTGGATGTTCCAGCAAAATTCCATAAGTTATCTCGAAAGTCACAATTCGAAAAAAAATCCTTATATAGCCCGAACTAGTCCTACTCCCACTGCGAGTACGAGCCAACACTTAGGCCAAGGAAAATTAGAATGAAAAAATGCCTTGACATAAAAAACAATAGCATAAACAGGCTTCACAAGTTTGCAAGAAATAGTTTGCCCTAACACTTAACTATTACTCACCAAAAGCCTATCGCTATGTACGTAAAACTTTTGGAACATGTTTGCCTGCACCCGTACATTGAGTAAGTGGTACAC